GGGGCACGGGGCCTCTCCCGAGGGAAGACGCCCACGGGAGTCTTTCAGCCGAAGTATCTCAAGCACCGTTGCTGTATCCTGTAGTTTACTTCCTTCTGTAGATGGACATGTTTCTTAACATCATCGTTGCACAGCCTATCTCTTTCTGTGACGCCTAGAGTCCTCCTGAGACATGCCGTGTCAGACACATTCAGTCGCTGTTCTGAGGAGCGTTTCATTGTCCCGCTTTCAGATTTGTAAAGAAGTCAGTTCAAATGTCTCACATATTGTAATTTTGTTGTTGCTGTTATGGTTCTAACTGACCAAACCTTTCTTAGTGCCTGGAATGCAGCCCTCACTATCCCTATCCACCTCTTGACGTCTGAAGTAGTTCCCTCCTTTGAACTGAGGTTTCCTCCCAGATAGACAAACCTGACTGTTTGCTTGAGGTTCTGATTCTTTATTACAATGTTAAAATCCTTCTGTGCACTTCCCAAGTATTGTATCTCAGTCTTCTCTATGTCTACTTTCACATCAAGGTTGTCATTGACTTCCACCACTCTATTTACCATGGCCTGCAGCTCATTTGGACTTTCAGCAAGCAGTGTTGTATCATCGGCAAAACGCTAGTTATTGATTCGCACACCACCTACTGCACACCTGCCTCCTCATCCTCCAGCGCTGTTGCTCTTATTAATTCCAGGAAAGTATTAAAGAGCAGTGGTGAGAGGACACATCCCTGCAACCTTCCTACGATTGTCTTAAACTGATCACTTAGCTCTCCACAGACTTTGACTGGTGCAAAGGAATCTTTATAGGCATTTTCTAGTATTCTTATGATTTTCTCTGGGTACCTGTAGAACCTCATTGTTTCCCAACATCCTTTCCTCCAAATGCTATCGAATGCCTTCCAAAAGTCAAAGTAACAAACATATAAGTCTTTTCCAAATTCTTTGTATTTTTCTGCCAGTTGCCTCAAAGTGAAGATCTACCTATTGTGCTCCTGTTAGCTCAAAATTCGCACTGGGCATCTGCTAGGGTTTCCTGTTCTGCCCTTGATTCTTTGCAGGAAAATGGAGATCTTGCTACTATGGCACAACAAACTGTAGTTTAAGAGTCCAGCTTGTTTTTCTTCTTGTGTATAGGAATTATGACTGAGTGCTTCCATTCTGTGGGAGTCACTTCGTGTTCCCATATCTCTCTGAAGACTCTGAGAAGCATCTCAGCCCCTGAGCCTATTGTAGCTGTTCCCAGCTCCTCCACCATGATATTATCTACTTCTGGGGTTTTTCTGCATTTTACTCTCTTATAGCTTCCTTTTTCTAGTTCCTGTCAATATTTAATATTTCCTCACCATCTCTGGTGTTCAAGTGGCTGCCGAAGTGTTTCTCGTTGGCCATTGCATAGGGTGTCAAGGTATTGTCTCCACCTTTGCTTTATTTCCCCGGCTCTGTTAATAAATGACCTTGCCGTCTTTAATCACCCGAATCTGAGGAGCACATCTGGCAGCTGTCCATGTAATAGTTCCACAGACAAGATGTGGTTTATCATGAAGTCTAGCCTCTTCAACTTCTTTGCATACACCTTGTATACACAGCTCTCCATCCTTCTTTGCTCTTCTTTCACCTCCCTGCACAGATAGTTGGGGTGTTTTGCTGCCTGTGAATTGCCTCTTCGTTTGCTCTTTAGCTTCCTTCTTTCTTCTGCCAGGTTGACCATCTCTACAATAAGTCATTCTATTGGTTTTGCCCTTTTAACATAACCAAGTATCTCCTTTGAAGCTTCCTGTATAGCTCTTTTGATTTTCTCCCATTCATTTTCTAAATTTGTAAAGGGTTGTTTAATGATTTCCTTCATCTTTTTTCCAGCAGTTCTCCTATACTCTCTCCATTCATCAGTTGTTTACGATCGATCTTCCGGTTCTTCTTGCCTGGTGTGCTGCTCCTAAGTTTCAGTTGAATGTTGACCATAGCAAGTTGGCAATCTGACCCTGAGTTAGCACGAGGAAATGATCGGCTGTTTTGGATGCTAGGTAAGAGTTTCCTGCTGCCAGAATATAGTCAAGTTGGTTGTATGTGCATTTGTCAGGGGATTCCTATGTTCAGCATGGTTTGGCCTTCTTGAATTTTGTATCGGATATGTAGAAATCATTTTCATAGCAGAGGTCAAGCAGTTGTTCCCCTCTATTGTTCCTTTGTCTGAATCCATATGTTCCCATGACCCTATAGTCCATTCTTTGGATCCTACTCTTGTATTGAAGTCACCCATAATGATTAGTATGTCATTCTTATGTGCCCTGCTGACCTCATTCTGTAGATCTCTGTAGAAACTGTTGATGAATCCTCTTCTGCTTCCACTGTTGGTGCGTATACCTGTATGATAGTTACTGGTTGTGTCATCTGCACCATGTTTGAAATCTGGTCAATATAATTCAGTCATTTACAGGTCTGTACCCAAGTATGCATTTTTGGGCCAAACTGGATAGCACTAAAGCTACACCTGCTGCATGCTTTCCTGGTGCGGGAGAATTATCTGTATTCTGTCAATCATGTATTTTGATAAAACGCTGATTGGCCAGCAGGAAGTATAGGCGGGTCAACCAGACAGGAAGTAGAGGTGGGGCAATGAGAACAGGAGAAGGCTAGAAAGGAGGAAGCCCATTCCTCCATTTCCGCCCAGACCACAGAGAAGCAAGATGTAACCTGCCCCCACTGGAAAAGGTACTGAGCCACATGGCTAACACAGACAAGAACTATGGGTTACCGTAAGATGTAAGAATTAGTTAATAAGAAGACTGAGCTAATGGGCCAATCAGTTTATAACCTAATGTAGACTCTGTGTGATTTTCTTTGGGACTTGCCGGTTGTGGGGTACTGGGCGGGACAGAAACCTCAACAAGTCGGTCTTCATGTTACACTTTCCCCTCCACCTGGGTTTATCATCTTGCATCCGTTTACTACAAGTTCTTGTGTTCCTGTCCAATGCATTTCTGCCAATCCAATGACATCCCACCTGAAGTGACTGACCTCATGCATAAGCAAGCCAGTTCCCCTGACTGTGTTTAGCATTCTCACATCCCAGGTCCCTATTGTGGTGACTCTTTTTGGCCTGAGGAAGTGCCTCTCCTGTCCATTTCTATCAGCTCCCCTCCCCTCTTTCGGCTTTAAGAGAGAAGCATCATCAGTCCTGCACTTAGGACATAAAGGTACTGGGGCACACTCAAGTTCTGTGACTTTAACCCAGGTGTTTCTGCTGAACTTGTCCATACTGGGTCTCCTGGTAGCTGCCTTCTCAATGGAGAGACTGGAAACGACCAGCTAGGTCCTCTGGAAACCTGGGGAATTTAGTATGTGGGTGGAAAGAGGTCCAGCTGGTTGATTAAAGGCTACCGTATGAAGAGGAAGAGACCTGATCAGACATCCTCATCAACTCAGATCATGAAATTGGACAATAATGCCTTCTGAGTGTCGGGACTAAATTATGCCTGCCCCATGCTTCTTTGAGGAAGAAGATCTTGTCATATAGTCATGACTTGCCTGGAACTTGTGATCTCGGCTCATGCTAGTATGACAGGCATGCTAGGATACACAACAATGTTTGGATAGAGGAATTACAAGCCTCATTTTGTAGATAAGAAAACTGAAAACTAATGGTGGGGACATTTTTCTCAAGGTCATTCTGTGAAAGAAATTAATATGCTGGAATGTAGACTCAGGTCAGTACACCTCAAAATCTTAAAGCAGGTCTACTAAGTTCAAAGGGCTCTACTCACTGCGCAGCCCACCCTGAAACATTACAGGGAATTGTACCGGAACTTTTCTTCCAGGATGTACCCTTCTGCCATGCATCAAGAATATATGAACAACTTGTGTATGTATATCTATCCCAGAAGCTTTGCAGGCGACATTGCTAAAGAAATAATCCCATTTTTTGTGGCTTTGGGACCCCTCTGGTCTTGGTGTTTCTGTCCCTAAAGTCTTGTCAGAAAAAGTGAAAACTGAGCCCATTAGCCATCTCCATAGCCTGTGTTTACCCTCTTTTTCTGTGGAGCTATGCTAAGAGCAGACTCCAAAGTCCTGTCCCCATTCCCCTTACTTATTGAAACTTTGCTGCTGTCCTGTGTCTTGTCTCAGCTGTTGGAAAAGTGGTAAAACACACACTGCCATTGTTCAACACAATACTGACTTTGGCACAAACTTCTTGTGAAAATACTTTCCTTAAACCCAAAGGAAAGTAGATGTAAAATAAATCTTCTAAGCATATTTTAGTAGCTTCCCATGTTTTGAGAGGTTTTGCATATTCTACGTAGACAACTATTGGCAAACTAGACTGCTAGCCTCAGGGACAGCAGGAAGCCAGGAAACAAGTTCTCTCTAGCCACTGAGTCCTCCAGCGTAATGTCTGAGTTTAACTCACAGTGGTTGAAACAGACATACAAGCAGTGTCACCAAGAAACATGAAAAGGTTATGATACTAGCGATTAAAATTAAAATGTGAAAGAGGCTCAAGGCATTTTCAAATGAAATGTAGAGACAACAGATTAAAAAAAAAACAGCACAAAGGACTGAGGTGTGTAGCTCAGTGGTACAGCACTTACCATGCATAAAGCCTTGGGTTAGACCCTCAGAACAAGAGGAAAACAGCAGTGATCAGAAAGAATGCTGTTCTCTTACATAGAGGAGGTCTCTGGGTAGACAGACTGTAAGGGTTCCTACCTACAGGCAGGAATACTAAAAGGGCAGATCTGTACGGAGCTCTCATTCCCTCCAAGTCTTCACAAAGACAGGAAGTAAGCACCAGCTTGCAATAACCAGGAGATGAGCAACTGAGCCCAAAAGAAATCATTGTACTGCCAATGGATGTATCGTGCTTGCAATTCACAGGTACCAACAGCATCTATGCTAGTAATATTTTCTACTTTGGTCAATAATTTACCTTCAAAGGTTGATCTCTTCTGATTATAGCCAGTTCAATGTTCTTTCCACCAGACTGGACAACCTAGCGTAGAACAAGGACACATAAGAACTTCTTCAGCTGGTTCAGGTAGGGCTCTGTAGTAGAGTGTGTGCCTGGTGTGTATGTGGTACTGGTTTGATTCTTCAACATTATATATAAACGACAACAACCTATCTGAAAATTGTGTGTTTAATGAACAAAACAGGATAAGGAAACCAAAAGCATATTCTCAGAACATACCTTACAAGATCACTTACTTCTAGCAAAGCTTTTATTGCTAGTTTGATAGCTTCACTGTCATTAGAAATAGCATCTTCTGTGTAATTCTTTTCTAGAAATTCCCGAACAGTTTTAGCACTCCGGCCTATTGCATTTGCCTTGAAAAATTAAAACAAAGCTATTAATACAATTGGGTTTATTGTTACCATATATGTTCAGGCTTTTGGGTTTACTCCAGTGTTCAATAACAGAGTCACAAAGGGACTGGGATGACATGGTCTTCTTTTTACTTTACAACTACCATACAATGGGAAAGAGAAACATCTTCAGGGAGTGAGACAATTGTCTTGCTCAGCTGAGGAGCCCACAGAAATTGTAATGTACACCTTTAATATCACCTTTATAAACCCTTCCTTTAGCCCCTCAGCATAGCATGTTGTTTGGCTCCAAGGCTGCTGTCCTTCTGCTAGCAGTAAGAATAAACTCATTTAATCTAAATTTGAATTGATTCTAAGTCCTTGATCTTTTCCCATGAATTCAAATGCCACAACAGTGGCATCAACTGAGAATCAAGTGTTCAAAAAGAGTCAAGCCTATGGGGAATTTATTCAAACCATCCCATTCCATTCCCAGCCCCCCATGGGCTCATGGCAAAATTCATTTATAAAGTTCACCAGACTTTAACAGTCCCAATGGTATTTAAAACTCCAAAGTCTCTTCATAATTAAGTCTTAATTTTAACCCCTTATAAAATAAAAGGACAATGAATTACATACTTCCAACATGCAATAGCATAGTATATACAGCTCCATTCCAAAAGGGAAGATTTGGGTATAGTGAGGAAATACTGAATCAAAACAAGATGGGAACCCAGCCAGGCAAACACCAAATACTACAGCTCTATGTCTGGGCTTTGGTTTCAAAGGATTTAGAGGGCTCAGCCCTCCATCTTTGCTGCCTGCACCCCTCCCTCTATTTCCCTCTCAGGCAAGTTCTCCTCCATGCACGCAGCTCTCTTCAGCATGTCTCATATCTGTGACATGCCCATCTTGGGGTTTCCCCTGAAGCCTCTCTCCATGCTTCACTTTTACAGCATCATTTAATGGCCTTTCATCTCTGACTCCCCTTATCACATGCTACCTAGCTTCAGTGCGCTCTGATATCATGAAGGAAGGATCCACAACCTGTACAGTCTTGTATCCTTCATATCTCTAAAGCCAGCACCACATCATCTAATTCTGGTGCCAACTTGAGAGAGACTCTTGCCTCCCTTGATCACATTTCCAGCTGTTGCTGACTTTTCTGGAGCAGAAAAATGCCCTGGGCTTCTTACAAGTTTAGAAGTTTAGATGGATAGGGTTTGGTCCTAAGGGCACCATTCCGTTTGTCTATCTAGCAGAGAACAAACCTCTCCTCAAGAGTGCTAATCTCCTTTAACAATGACAGTCCCTCTTTCTCAGCATGTACTTCAGTTGCAACACAAAGTTTCTTAGTGTTCAAACTATATTTTGTATTTTTTCTGTGTCATTTGTTCTTTTTCATTGCAAACCTCTGCAAGCATTATCAACAATAACCTTTCCACAGACTCAACAATATGCAGTTTTTCATATTTCCTCCACCAAAGAACTAGACTGTAGATTGTTACCTTTTTGGGTGGGGGGCTGTTTCAAGACAGGTTTTCTCTGTAGCTTTGGAGCCTGTCCTGAAACTCACTCTGTAGACCAGGCTCGCCTTGAACTCACAAACGTCTGCCTGCCTCTGCCTCCCAAGTGCTGGGACTAAAGGCATACACCACCACCACCCAGTTGCATCTTAACTTTTAATTTAGCTTCTGATAAATTCTCAAGACTGTAGGACCCAGCCATGACAAGCTCAATAGATGCCTGAGTCTCAGTAGTTTACCCTGGGTCTGAAAAATACCACAAACTGAAAACATTCAGTTTATCCAGAAACAGACCATCCAAAGGAACTTCCTAACATTCCAACCATCGTAGATAGGATCACCTGCCAGCACACACTCATCGCTTTTCACCAGGACACCCCTAGACAAATATCAGCCAATCAGGGATCCTGAAACTTAGATATCCCTCATTCCTACCTTTGTGATTGTAAAAAAAACCCAACCCTAACTGAGCTTGGGGCTCTCTGAATCACTCAGTCGTTGGACACACAGAGAGTCTTCGTTTGCAAACCTGTGTAAGAATAAAGGCTCTTTGCTTTTACATCCAGGACTTGGTCTCCTGGTTGGTTTTGTGGGGACCCTGTGATCTGGGCATAACACTGACAAGGGAAGGAGTTAGCCAGATTCTTTGCCAAAACACCGCATGAATGGCCTCTAGTCTAGTTGCTGATACTCTCCTTGCTTCCCTCTAGAAATTCTGGAGCAAGGCCTCTACAGCCCTCATCATTCTCAGCACTACAGCCTAGGACCCTACCACAACAGAGGTTCACAGCTTTATACTGCTAGGTCCCAAGGGCGTGTAAATAATAGGGAACAGGCCACCAAAGTCTAGAAACCAAAAGCAAACTTAATTCCAACCACCGCGTGGCGCAAAAAACCTTCCAGTGTACTGGGGCCCCAGGTCAGAGCTCTGGTTTCTGCCACTGTGACAATGAAAGAGGTTTTGAGCCACACACCATGGGTCCTGCTGCTAAGGTGCCATTCACACCATATCATAACAATGGTGCCTGTGATGCCTGGCAGGTTCTTCTGTTAGTTCCTCCTGCCTAGTTGTTTTGAGGAGCTACAGAACTCTGTAATCTCCAATCCAGTTAGTGTTTTTCCAACTCAGGATCGCTTAAATTCTACACTCAACACCGACAAAATTGGCAGCAACGGTAGACCCCTCCCCTCAACCTCTCCCCAATCCCTGCATGCTTCCATGCCCCAGTACTGTGCAACCAACCACTTGTCTCTCAGGCTTAGAGCCCTTTGGGCCCCATCCCTGTGTTATGATGTAGGGGTATGACTTGCACCCACCCATTCCTCTAGACCTTGTAGGTGACGACCCAAAGTCAGCTTGAGCCACGGTCCATACTGAGTCTCTGGGACACTGGAGTTCAGTCTCTAGACCTTATCTCTTATCTCACGCGTGGAAATCGCGTACCCTCCACCTCATAAATCAGAACCCATAGCCGCTTATTAGCACCCTACATTCTGCCAGTGATCCGGTAGCTCGAAGGGCAGCCTCAGCTTTTTTTTCACTCTTCTGTTTTTCCTTTCCCGCCCACACCGCCACACCATCCAACCTGGGTGGCGGCACAAGGACTCCACCCTGACCAAACCAGTTCAACTGCAGTTTCCCCTTTGCTCTTTCCTGCCTCGCTGCGGGCTGACAGCATGTGCTGGGGAGGTTTCCTGTCTACTTCATATATGAAAGACTGAATGGTGTGGCCACACAGATGTGATTCTCATGTATCTCTTCTGCGTCCCGTATGTCTGTCCTGTTAACTGTGTTTGTTTAAAATTTGCACTTCTCTTAAGAAAAAAAAAAAAAACCTCACGGTTTCTTAGTGCCTTGCAACATGTAGGCAGACACCATCTTGGCTAAGGGCAGGTCAGATGACCTAACTGCCCTCTGCTATAGTAACCACGTGACATAGCACGTGACATAGTCCAGAGCTGGACCGCTGCCTGCTAGCTCTCCAGGCTTGCCCAGGTCCCACCCACCTGCCTGCTCCACTTGCAACAGATGTGATTTTTCCACCTGCTAGAAATCTGCGACTTTGATTCTTCACTTTTTTCTCTGCTCCAAAGACCTGCAAACGTCTGTCTGCTCTCTCTTTGTTTAAATACCCTGCCTGCTGGTTACAAAGTGTGAGTCAGAGATGAAAAAGTCAGCTTCCTTTTGCTGACCTTTCATTTAAGTGTAAATGTAAGCTCGCTTTAACTCTCTTTGTGTACATGTGTATACAACACAAATTCAACTGTGCATAGGTGAAACTCTGTTCACTGTTATCTCCTTCTAGACTAAGGAAGTGGTAAGTCTCAAGTATTTTAAATTGGTATATACTCTTAAATAATAAATACATAGTTAGATCTGTTACAACATACTGTCTATGTGAGTCATCTCTGCTTTAAAATATATTCTACATAATAATAAAAATTTAAGGTTATAAACATCTATTTCAGCTTAACAAAAGCTAACCTAGAAATTTACACTACCCAGTCTTTCCTGTAAGCTGTTCTTTATTATTGCCAGTTTTTACTGTTAAGCTTCTATTTTAAAAAGTTTTTTTTTTACTTCTTTATCCTTCACAAATAAAAAAAAATCTCACCTGTTAAGTTAAAACCAGTTAGAGTCAAGCTGGAGGACTCTGGGTAAACATTGCTCCACAACCTCTCAGCTTGGATCCAGCTCTCCAGGCAGATCCTATGCTATAGTCATAACTCATATATATCCCATAAACAGCCCTCAAATATTCAGTGATCTGGGGAATATGGTATTTGCAAGTTTAATTAAAAAGGCTTTTTGTAACAGAGACAGGCTGGCTCCTAGCAGCAGCCCCTAAGATTTCAGTGCCCACAAATCAGCAAGAAGCAGTCTTGAGAGCTTGATGCCCTTATTCCCTTAGCCTGCCACACTTAACTCCTCACCTTTTTAATAAAAAAGAAGAAATGTTAGTATTCAGGCACACCTTGGCCCTGCTGCTCCTTGGGAGCCTAGCACCTAACCCCTCTGCACATGGCAAGCAGATGCCTGACTGTACACAGGTGCAAAGGTCCCATTAAGAGACAAGCTCAGTCCACTCCCAAGCTCACTCTCTTTCTCTATAATTCTTCTGAATATGCAAACAGGCCTCTCTCTCTCTCTCTCTCTCTCTCTCTCTCTCTCTCTCTCCTTCACTCTCTCTCTCTTTCTCTGTCTTTCTCATCCCTCCCTCCCCTCTACCTTCCACTTCTCTCAATAACATCCTCTTAATAAACTCCACATTCAAACTCTGTTTGCATGGCGTATTTACCCATTGTGGTTTGGACCCACCTGCCATGGGACCATCTGCATGACCCCACTCATGCTCTTTGGCAGAGAAGCACCTTTGTGCAGTGGGCAGCAGTCAATGGAGAGATGCATACGTGGTCCAACTGCTCAGTCCTAAACAGGACATCTCTATTAGTCCATTACCACCGAGCCTCAGGGAGCAGCATGGTAGAAGAGGC